AAGCTCCTATAAGGGTAGGCTCCAAGAAGCAGTCCCCGCGGGCTCAGTTCCGGGAGCCGGAATTCCTGAAAGTTACATTTTAAATCTCAGCAAAATGTCTGTCTGCCTGTCTGTCTCTCTCTCTTTCTCTCTATCACACACACTCACACACACACACACACACACACACACATCTGGGGCTCAAAACTAAAGTACTCATTAACAAATCTATTTTTCTTTTTTGAATAGAAACTTGTGATTTAGGGTAAATGTGTGAACATTAGATAATTTTGTACTTGTTTCATGTGGGTTGATATGAAACATAAGTTCCTTGAACAGTGTGGATCCCTGTTCATTACCAGCTTAAGAAGATAAAACCTCAATGACTCAGTGTCTTAACAAAAGGCACATTTATTTTTTGCTCACATAAAATTCTCTGAGAGGGAATTACTGTGGGGTGTATGTGGGCCTTCTGGTCATCCTGAGATTTAGGCTGATGGGGGCTCTGCCATCTTCTGTACATGGCTTCCAATGATGTTTTAAGTGTTAATTTTCAATCTGCTGAGTGGAGAAGAGAGTATGGTTTACCTGTGAGATGATTTTATAAGTTATGCCTACAAGCAGCACAAATCATTTCTGATAATCTTCAGTTAGTAAAACTCAGTGACATAATCAACCCTTTCTGCAAGTGAGCCTGGAAAATATAGATCAGCTATATCCCTAGGAATAAAAAGAAAAAGGATTTTGGTGAACACATAACAATCCTTTTCCATCAAATGTCTGAGAATAAATATCAGTTTCATCTTTTTCCCTCATGTAGAACCACATGATACATGGGATTGCAAGCAAGTCTAGGAAACATAGTCCAGCTTCATAGCCAGGAAGATGTAGGCATGTAGCTTGGTGAGCAAACTGAATTCTTTGTCTCAATCACCTAACCTGTATCAGTTACTGAGGCTTTGCACCGTGGCTATGTGACTGTAGGCTTGGGGCTCATTTTATCTTTATTATAATAGGCATAAAATCAGGATGCTTATATAGATGCCTTGTAAGATTTGTAAACTAGCAAGCACTTAACATAAATATGAGAAAATAATAAACATCTGTGTAGCCTTCTCCTAATTTTATTTGTATTAACATTATTTCATATTTGTGACTCAGATTTATGTTAAGGAATAAAATATTAAAGATGTTATTTGAGGCTCCCTGAGTTCTTTTCAATTCCATTCCTGTCTCTCCTTCCTCAGTAACATGACCTCGGTGTTTATTATTCTTATGTATTGGCCTTACTTTTTAAGAATTCAAGTACTACTGACTTACCAGTTTCCGATCATAGTTAGCCAACCCTTTTGTGGGGAAGGCATGGTATCCTGGTTAAAGCATCATAGTATGGAAAACAGAAATCCTCCCTGCACCCTCAAAACTATCCTCCAAAGTGTCTCCTAACCTCCTCTTGGTGTTGGGAGAGGAGGGAGATGAGAAATTGGAGTGGCAATAGGGGTCAGACCATGACAGGCCTTATATGTCAGCTCAGGATTAGGATTTTATTCTGAAAACAGTGGGATTTCTATTTGTTAATAGCCATGATCATAATTATGGTTTAGAGGGATAATTTTTGTAGTCATGTTAGCACTGTCTGGAGCTGTTAGAGACCCTAATGAGGAGAGATAATATGAACTTCAACTAAAATGGTATCCCACAGAGATGGGCCTCTTCTTAGTGTAGACATAGTTCTCATTCTTGCTGCTTCAAAAAAAGGATTAAACTTTAATTTGGTATGGGTCTGCCTCAAGCTGCTTCTTTCTACCATTTTGACTTTGACCTTTTAATCTAAGTTGTAAAATAGTCTCTCTCCATGAGGATTATAGTTCTGTTGGACTAGTCCTATGTACTTTATATGCATTACCTTTTTAAATATGTTATTCTACAACAATCTTGTAGAACAGCTACCTTTTTCATTCCATTTTTAGAGCAAGAAAAATGAGTTACAAGGTAGTTAACTAGCTTGCCCAAGATGACTAAAAAGAGTCCAAGGTGGGATGTTTTTAACTTGAGTCTGACTTTCTCATCTTGCTGCATTGTGTCTCTTAAGGAATAAATTTATTGAGAAATTTTTGCTGTGTGCTTTGAAAATAAAAGGAGACTCACAATAAAGGTAACATTGAAAGAGCTCTCCCAAATGAAGTTGGCAGTCACTGAGAAAACAGGCTTGTGCACATCTTGAGCTGCTGCCTGAGTGTGAACTTTGGCTAACTCCACCCTTTGACTGCAAACAATGACCAGATAATTTCATTGTGCTTAAGAGACTCAAAGCACACATCAAGAGGTCAAGGGACTATTGTTTTATAAGCATTTCTACTTAGTTTATATATTCCTTTCTTTATATTCTTTTGGTCATGTAGCCTCCGCCAAGTAGCACTTGCATTCTTTTCCCACTTCCATAGAATTTCTCTTCAATTTTAGTTACCTTGTGATGTTTTAAGGACTTTTTTTCCCCTACATAAAATCCTACTTTCCCTCCCTGACTCAGAACACTGATTTAGTCCTATAGGAACTTGTGTGTCATAAGCTGCCATTCCTAAGACCCCAAAGTAAAGTTCTTTTACAGTTTCTGAGTTTGAATTTATTGACAGTTCCAAGTACTACTTTAAGCCCTTTACATGTCTTATTCCATTTAATCATGGACACTACCCTTTGAAGTAGAAATTATCATTATCTCCACTTTACAGTTGAGAAACCAAAGTCCAGAGAGTTTAAATAACTTCTTCCAGATGAATTTGGTTAAGATTATTGAGACTACACAACCTAGGGCCATTGCTCTTATTGTCGCCAGTGGGAAGGCTTATTATTTTGATCTCCAAAACTACAGGGAGAAGCAAATTTAAAACATCTTGTTAAACTTTATTAATATAACCCTAATTTCAATGTGTCAATATATTGTTGAGAATATAGCTAAAAGCCACACCCGATACTGGATTTGGAAGGCCATAGACAATATACATATAGTTCTGCTTCAATTATTGCCAAAATGAGTTCTCAGTGTGGAAAAATAGTCAAAGGAGAGCTGGGTCAAGAGCCGGGAGGCTAGGGTTCTAATCCTGGTTCTGCCTTGAACAGTCTTTGAGACTGCTTTGGTCTGAAGGTTTATATACCTTCAACATTCATGCGTTGAAACCTAATCTCCATTGGGGTGGTATTAAGAGGTGGGGCCTTTAGGAGGGTTTTAGGACATGACAGCAGAGCCCCCATGACTGGGATTAATGTTCTTATAAAGGAGACTCAAGGGAGCCTTCTGCTGTTTCTGTCATTTGAGGATGAAGTAAGAAGGTGCCCTGTTTGAAGCAGAGTGGGCCCTCACCAGACATCAAGTCTCCTGATGCCTCCATCTTGGACTTCCCAGTCTCTAGAACCATGAGCAATAAATTTCTGTTGTTTATAATCTAACCAGTCTAAGAAAGTCTAGGAAAATGATCTTGGCTGGGTCAAAAACATTATAGTGCTTTAATTTTTTCATCTTAAAAATTCACAAAATGAACTGGAGAATGTCCAATGTCTTTGCCCACTCTGAGATTCTCTCTATGCCTTTTTTTCTCCATTTTATCAAAGATGACTTAAAATGATGAAAATGACAAAATGCTTTTAGAAATGCAAAAAAAAATTAATATTTCCAAAGATGAGGACATATAATATTTGCAGAAGTACTGGGAATGATCTATGAAGATATTTTTCTACTAGTGTTACAAACATATAGATATAACAGTATTTTTTTTTGTATATAAAACAATCCAAATCTCTGACTCTTGTAGCTAGCATCTTTATTTTTAAAAGGTTTAATTAAATTAAACATGAGTGTGAAACAAGTACATAACTGAGGGAGTTATGACATCTTTAAGAAAAATCAACTTATGAAAGTTTCAATATAAACCCTCTTGAAAGACATCATAGATTTCAGAGAAAATAAATAGACAAAAGAGAAGGCTGGCAAAATGATACTCCTAGAAAACAGCTTTTCCCTACCCCTCTACACTGCTAATTCTTCCTCAAAGAGCCATTTCTTTATGCAAATGTAATTGTATTTAAGTTAAATATATTTATTCAGTTCTTTAAATTGCTTTAAAATCCACTTCCAAATCCCTTCTCCCCTCAAATGAGGGGATCCTACAAAGGGCAGAGCAATGCAGTTTGTTTCTTTTTTTTTCCCTAACCCAAAACCCCGAGTATTGTAGGACCTTAGCAGCATTGGTCATTTTTTTTTTTTTTTAAGTAATGAAAAGATATGTGCTACTTTCCACAATCCCAAATTAACTTTTCTTGCTTTTGCCCTTAATTGAAGAGCTTGGTAGTAATCGTCTTAAAATCCAGAGCTCTCTTACCCACCACCTGCATTAAGCAATTCAGAGATACATCCCATCTCAATACTCTATGTGTCCCCAAAGAGTTGAGGTGCAACTGATGCCCCCACTGCTATGGATTGGCATTGCTGGTGGCAGCTCATTAACCTGCCTCAAGTAGCCTCTTCCTACTTTTCTGATCTTACTACTTTCTGATCTTTTTCTTTTTCTGATCTTACTACTTTCCTTCAGGAAGCTAATGTCTAGTTTCTCACTAGGTTCCAAGCAAGAACTAGACATTGAGGCTACAAAGAATATGCTGGCCTTGTTCTTGAGGGTCCCAAAGTCCAGCAGAAGACTGTGTGGCAGTTGGTTCTTTTTACCCATTTTCATCACCATTCCCTCTTCTGGATTTATGTATCTCTCTCTAAAAGGAAGGAACTGCCTAAAATTATTGAGGAGAAAAACCCCACAAAATCTGTGAGTTAAGACTGAATAAAACATATGGAATCAGACCTAGATATACAGGGCTGACCCTCAATTCCTGGAGCTTGCCCTTCCCCTCTGCCAGGACAGCAGGGATCGGTGGGGCTGACATCCTTGGCCCAGTGTTGCAGCCTGGATGGTGCATACACACAGGTATTTTGTATGTCTTGGTCCTTCAGGACAAGGGTAAATGTCCACTGTCCCTTATTCTTTCATTTCACTAAAGGAGCAGTAGCTGGGCCCCAGCCCTTGCACGGTACAGTCCGTGCTGTCGCTGTCACACTTGCCACAGTGACATTCGGTGGCCACTGGGTATGTGTACAGGGAGTCTGCGTGGTGAGCACAGCCAGGCACTCTCACAGTCTCATACACTAGCTCCTTGAACGTGCATATTTTCTGGATGTTGGTCCTGGCTGGGTCCTTATATACCAGATCCTGAGGAGATAGAAATTAGACAGTTAGGTCACGGTATTTAAAACTTCATGCTCTCACATTTACCCATTAAAATCTATATTACTTCAGAAATGACATATTATAGCACATTTTCTGATTGTTTTGGAAAGTATGTTATTTTTTTCTTAATTTGTATGACTATATTAATTCTTTCTCAAAATGTAAAGGGACTTTGAATCTCAATGAAGAAATATGATGAAAAAGGAAATATGACTTAGAATTTTAAGTTGTCTTTTTGTACTTAATTGAAAGCCATATTAATGACAACTTAAACCATATTCACTGAAGTTTAATTTCTCAGAAAGCATTTTTCCAAATACATTGTCCTGATATATTTTTAAAAAGTTAAAAAGGATATAATATGAATGCTAGTGTTTGGTTTAATGTGTTTGTGAAGGCTCATGTAAGATATTAAATATTCTACTGCCTCATAGACATTTTCCTCTCTTAAATGCTGTATACTTTTCAGGGTTCTTAGTTTCAAAAGACACAAAGTTTGCAAAAATTTTTTGTTCTAGCACTTTCCAGTGGAAAATTTATTGGTACTGAGGGGAGAATGTGGGGCTGCTATTTAATTTATTTCAATAAAATCAATATCCCAATCTATATCCCAAGGAGATACAATAAATTGTGCATGAATAGAGTTTGATTGATCAAACTTATGTACCATCAAATAAAATATATTTCATTAAAATATTGGTATTTTCAATTTCAGTTTTTAGAATGAAATTCTGCATAGATAACCAGGTGCTACAGGGAAAAAAGAAAACAAATGGAAATTACTTCTTTAATTGGATTAATGCAAAGCCATGCGCATTCAAACTAGCAGCTTAGTTTGGCTTTGGGTCTTGGTTTTCTCGGGGTATAAATGGAGTAGTATTGCTGAAATTGTATTTAAGCAGGTCAAAATGACAATTTTTATAATGTGGCTGTATTTTAATATAACTTGGAAATATATTTTGGTACTGTTTCTACAGCAAAGATAGGACCTTAATTACAAAAATTGCCTTTTGAGGAATATTCAGGGTCCTTTATGATTAAATATGTGTTTCTGTATTTATCTCTTTACACATGAAATGTAATAACTACAGTTAATAGAAATGCTTCATTTAATATTTTTGAAACTGTAGAATTGATACATTACAAAATTTATCAGATTAATTCTAAAGCTTTTCTAAATTTATTTAAATTAAATCCTATCCCAAAATTTACATCATGGTCGTTAACTTCAATCACAGCACAGACACTATTGGCTAAAGGACTCATGGCTGTTAATTAGGAAACATGAAATATCTATTAGGTAGGAATTAATGAAGCTTGCCTCATGCAGACCCTCAACCCCCTCACTTCCAGAAAGGTGCAGGACCTACCCTGGTGTAGCAGTAGCCTGCACACCAAGTGGTGTTGATGCTTATGCAGAAACGGCACTCTTCTTTCTCCACTGCAATGGTGATGTTGGTTAGCTCACAGCTTTGGCAGCAGATTGCTTTCCAGCAACAGAAAAGGAAGCAAAACTGGACTGACTTCATCCTGGACTGAGAAGCAAACAGCCAAAGCCCATCAGGAATCAAGAAACCAAAGAATTAAAATCACTGTGTAAATTGACCAAATCAAAAGTAATGAGTTAACCCACCTCCCCCAAACACGTTTGCTTTAGCAAGACTTCCCCTTTCTTTATTTTTTTGTTTCTTAGAACAATATTCCTTCTCCTCCTCCTTCATTTTTTGGTAAAGTAGAAAGACATTGTAAATCAAAGTTCAACATAATGATTTAAGCAAAATGGTATTTAGAGATTACAGATATCATTGCTGACCATCTTAAAGTGATTAAAGCAAGTAACTTGTGTTCATCATCTTTGCCTTTTCATTAACATTTTTAAAGACTAGTTTTGTTTAAAAAGAAAAAACAATTTTATATAACACAATGATTTCTTCATTTTTAGTGTCTCACAAATATTGTTATTTACTTTTGCCTACATTTGTTTAAAATAAAACTATTTCAGATGCCAGGAAAATTGGTCTATAAAGTCAATTGCTTGCTAACAGTGATTATAATATATTAGCCATATTAAGGAAACCAGGCTGACAAGCATAAATTCTCTATATGGCAGTAGCATAAAGCTTTAATTTGTTCTCTAGGTTCTGAAAACCAGTAATTTAAAAAATAGCCATTCCCACTTGATAACTGTAAATGCCAAGACTCACCTGTGGTTGTTTCTGTCTTGTGTGGGGTAAGCTGTAGACTAAGTCAAGTCTCAGTTCACCTTTTATACAAAATCATGTGCAACTAACACCTTGTGGATTTCTTGGGTATTAATATGATCAATGCTAACCTGAAGCTTGCTGTAAGCGAAACGGTGTTTAGATAGACAGGGAGATCAAGCTTTTACTAAGGTAGTCTAAACGCAGTAGATCAGAAAAATAATGTTATCAGAGATGTTGATTTTGTACAAATTGAATTTGATATAGTAGCACACCCACTCCTTGACCTTGTCAAATTAAATATGACTCTCGGTTTTTCTTTTTTATCTTCAACTTAGGGAATTCAGAACCCTTTTCAAGGATTGCTTTGGCCTTGTTGAGGATGCACATCAAAAAGATACAGTTAATAGTAAATGGTTCCAAAAGCAGAATGAAATCTCTGAGGGAAGAAATAAGCAAATAGAAAGCATTTCAAGATCTAACTCCTATATAAATTGTGAACTACATATTTCTTTACCTCCCATATCCAGATCTCCTAATCTTAATCCTGATTTTTTTGGTGATTTAGACAGAGCTTTCTACCTATTATGATTCTCTAGATATGCTGTTGATTCATTCCTTCAGATATTTGCATGTGATGTTTTTTCTGCTTGCTTACCTCATCTCACCCAACATCAACTCCACCCATGAAAAATTCCCCAACTTTTAACACCCAAAGGTGTTTCACCTGACAAAGTTTAGGATAGCAGGAGAGAGAGAGAGAGAGAGAGAGAGAGAGAGAGAGAGAGAGAGAGCGAGAGCGCTTTAATCACTTGTTTCTGTTTATAATCATTTACATACATCTGTTTTCTCCAGTAGACTATGAGCTTCTTAGAAAATGAGGATGATTTGTTTAAAAAATATTTATTTATTAAATAGTGTGACTGGAATAGAAGACCAATGGTAGAAATAATAGGATATGAAGTCGGAACTAGAACAAAAGTCAAATCATGTGGGACCTTTTAGGCCAATGTATAGTCTTTGGTTTTTATTGTATGTGTTGAGGAACACATTGCAGGATTTTGAATGGAGGAGTGATATGATCTTATTTAGATCTAAAAGTCTCCCTCTGACTACAGCTTTGCTCATGTAGAGGAACAAAGGTGGAAACAAAGACCTATTAGGATGCTGTTGCAACAATCTAAGTGAGAGATGGTGTTTGTTGGAGACTGGTGTGGCAGTGATGGAGCTTATGAGACATGATATGACTCTGGATTATTTTGAAAGAAGAACTAACAAAATTTCTGATGGGTAGATGTTGAGCATGAGAAAAAGAAAAAAAATAAAGTTGAATATAAAAATTCTGGTTTGAGTAACTGGATGGATGAAGTTATCCCAACTGACATGGGATTGGTGTAGCAAGCTTAGGGAAAGAATAAGGAGTTCAGTTTGGACTTTTAAGCTCGAGGTGTTTATGATACATCCAAGTAGATTGCTGAATCTGGATTTTAGGGAAAATGTATTGACTGAAGGTATAAATTTGGGAGTCAATGGCATAAGCCTGGACGAAATTATCAAGGGAGGGAGAGCAGATAGAAAAGGATATGGAATTGTGCCTGGTGTACTCCAATATTAAGAAATCAGGATGCAATGAAGTCCCTTTCCCTTTTCTAAAGAAGACTGAAAAGGGTCACTGAGGAAGGTAGGGAATAGAGAGAATGTGGTATCACAGAAGCCAAGTAAAGAAATGAGTGGCTGGGTAATATGGAAGCAGGATAGAAATAATTTTCTTTTGATTTTAATTTTAAGATGGGAGGAATAAATGCCTGTTTGTATGGTTATGGGAATGATTGAACAAAGTAAAAAGTGATGATGTCAGAGGCAGAGAGGAGAATTCTGAAGTGCTCTTGAAGAGGTGAGATAAGAAAGGCTTTAGAGCACAGAGGAGGGATTGACTTTAGATAAGACCATGGAGAGATTATCTCAGTATTGGGCAGGAAGGCAGAACTTGGATGCTGGTGAGGCGACAGGTGTGGGTGCAGATGTTGGTAGGCCAGCAGGTGTGATGAATGCAGATGCTGGTGTGGGGGCAGGTATGGGGGGTGCAGATGCTGGTGGATGGGCAGGTGTGATAGATGCAGATGTTGGTATGCTGGTAACTGTGGTCGGTACAGATGCTGGTGGGTGAAAAGATAGGCTCTGCAATCTGGCCTATGATTTATTTCATTTTCCCAGTAAAACAAGAAATAAAGTCATCACTAAAGAGTAAGGATGAGGGAGTTGTTGAGAATTTGGGAAAAAGGGAAAGATTTGAAATGGTTGTTAGAGATTAGGAAAGGGACTGAATTTGCAGTGTATAATGTGATTGCCTAGTAGTGTGAAGGCCCCACTAGAGGTTTATGGTAAAAAAATTTAACATGGGACTCCTAGCATGCATGTGTACTTTTCTCTGGACTGATTTAATAGCATGGTTCAGGCACATGGGTTACATAAGTTTGTTTATCTAGACTTTGATTTTTATCAAGTATGTTGACAAAGACAAGATTCACCATAGAACTAGATGCTGTAAGTACTAGTTCATAATCTGGACATTTTAAGTACTAATTTAAATATCTATGTAAGTAAATATCATGAATATATAACTATTTTGAAATCTTTCAGCAGTTGGTAAGAAAGTATATCTTCTGTTATAGAATGAATAATTAAATTTTACATAGTACAGATTAAATGAAAGACACTCATGATTCCTGTAAAACTATAAACACTTTCAGTATTTTTCAAGAAATGTTGTTATAACTCTTGGTAATATCACAGATTGTAAAAAAAATCTTTTCATGCTACCTGTGTGTATTCACAAAGTATTATCTGTGTGACTACAAGAACTTACAAGTTTTAATGTAATGAGTTTCTTCATTATGCAATTAAAATATTAATAGCTACTTTTTTATTAAGAAGTAACCATATTAAAATATATAATATTTACGAATTAGTGTCATTGTCTTTTCAATGTCTCTTCAAAGTTTTTTGAAAAATTCTGCTTACGCATCTTTGTATCCCAAATAGTTTCTAATGCACAGTAGGCACTAATATACTTTTGATGAACCAATTAAAACACTACTTCTTGTTTCTCACTTTACTGTGTTGATTCCTAGCCTTTTTGCTGTCAAGTGCATGCCCTGTTCTTGCTCTGTTCCACTTTGTTTTGTGGGAGAAAGGACCTCTGCAGGCTGCCTTTCCCATTAGTAGGCTTTTGCTTTTCTGAAAGGAGGTAAGGAAATGAAAGGAAGAAGTGGGAGCATTGCTCACCTTTGCATTTTGTTTCCTTTCCTGGCAGTGAATGTATTTTTTTCTAGTCCCATCTTTGTGTGATTCTTGCCATTTGAGGAAAGCCAGGCTGTGGCTTGAGCCTCTACTGAGTGTTCTCACCTTCTGGTCTCTGGCAGTCCCACTCTGTGTCCCTTTAGTTCTGTGGGTAAACAGAGCTTTCTGCTGTTGCTCTTCTCTGGTTGACTTGGTTCCCCTGTCTGGCTTGTCACCAATTCTAGCATTTGAATGACTAATTTTCTGTGTTAATCAATCCCTGGGTTCCCTCTGATTTACCTACCAGGACTTGAAACTGCTTTTCTGACTTGAAACTGATGGATACACTTACCTTTATTTCTAGCCCTGCAGAAATAAAACTTGGTTGGGATTTAGTAAAATAATGTTAATTAACTCAATATTTGTCAGTATTAAAATTTCTTAGGACACCTGTTAAATTATCCTTTATCTCCACACTTTCCAAAATCACCTGAATTTTCTCTTCTTTGAGAGAAACAAGATTCTATTCCTCTGCCTGATGCGTATTTTTCATCTCCTTTTTATCTAAGCTACTCCTGAAAGCACTTCAAGATTCCATCAGACATAATTTCTTCTAGAAGGTACTCTCTGTCCCTTCCTCCCATGGTCTCCAATGCTTACTCTCTAGTATCTTCTGTCTTATGCTTCCTACTTCCCTGTACCTTCCTCAGTGGTGACACTCATCTTATTCTTATTTTACCTGCACAGCAGGCATCTCCTCAGAATTCTGGTAGTCTAATTTTCACAACTATTGACAGATCTCTAGAATTTGTGTACCTATACTTAATGGCCTATGTCCTTCTTTTATTAATAAAGAAAAAAATTTAAAATGAGGTTTTTATATTTGAGTTTAAAATAGAAAAATTATTTGTACTCAATGTCTTGATAAATTACATGATACTTTCATAGTCTGGCATCCTTTTCCTCCTTTTATTTTGCCAATGTCATATATGCTTTCTAATTTACAGTTGTAAAATATTTAATATAGTTTGTTTTTTCTGATTCCTTTA